TTAAGTATGTTTACTTAATTAATGTAAATCTCCAAATCTGTAGACAAAACTATTCAAAATATGCTTGCACCAAAATGTGTATTTTGTTTTTCAGCAGCAGGATTTATGCAGGCCTTAAAATTTCTAATTTTTTAATTTTAGAAATAGTCAGTGAAAGTTAGATTTGTAGTTTGGTTGGCAAAAAAGGAAGAGCGTAAGACTACCTAAAGCAGTGTACACCACACTGACATCTAATTGCAGAAGGAATAGCACTACTACCTTGCTTATGATAGCATGAGAATTTATGGTGCATTTAGCTTGATAACTTTTAAATATTTTGAGGTGCATATATGTGTAATGTGTTTTATTATCAAATTTATTTGCTAAGACGGTTTCTTGTATATTTTCTAGTGTATAATTTAGATAAAAAGATAGAAAAGAGTAGTCACACATCATGCGTAGCGTATAAATACTTCCCAGAGCAACTCCTTTTCACACTCCCCACACTGGAGGATCCACAAGTAACCGTGATTACTGAATCTTGGTTGGGAACATGAACTATTTTGGTTCATACATTCATAAAGTCGTCTCACAGATCAGAAGTGATCTTTGCTGTGTAACTCACAGCAGGGCTTTGAACAGTCTTTCAGACAATAGTGACGTGGAAATATGAAGTGGGGGAGATGGCATACAACTTTCACCAAGAATTAAGGGTTACTTTTCTTGTGACTTGTCAAAATCAAAATAAAAAAAAATGCAGAGCAGAACTCAAATGACAGGTGGATGCCACTGAAATTAATAGCTCAAGCTATTATTTTTTGTGGCATAGGGGAAAAAGTAAAAGTTGGATTCTGTCCTTAGCACATCAGAATAGATGCAAAGATGACCACATCGTTCTAGATGAGGAAACTAATTACTTCCACCTTGCATATTTCTGTCCAATTTGCTCTTTTCCAGAAGCTCTCGGAAACCACTATTTATAGCACAGAGTGTGTATGAAACTTGTGAGAATCAACAAGAGATCAGAGCCAACTCTGCCTCCATACTCCATCTACAGTTTTTCCCAATGACATTATGATTTTTTATGTTGACCACATGGATTTCCTTAGAGCCAGATTATTGTGGAGATCTGTGAGAGAGAGATGAGTAGAGAGGGCCGACTATACAGTCTTAAAGTTGCAGATGTGTGTGGGAAGGCTCAGCCATGCTTTTCATCCCAGACCATTTATTCTTTACTGGCAGATCTCTGTAAACAGCGAGTACCTTTTAAGGGATGTGTATAAATAAATTCTATTCTCTCTTAGTTTTTTAAACATAGAGGTGGTAGACACATAAGTGATTAAATTATTAGAAACCTGTGAATTATTATTATACAGAAAGTACTGTAATGAAACCACCAATTGATTTGCATCTCAGTAAATTAACACTTCTTAAATACCTTACCATGATTCACACGTCAGAATCTTCACTTGTGTGTCCTTCACTTCTATCTGCTTTTGCTTTTCTAGATATTTGTGTAGTTTCTATCACTAGTGTCTGAACAACATGGAAAAATCATTACTGTAAATTCCTGTTTTATTAAGACCTTTCATGTAGTAAATATAATCTATGTCCCTTTGGAGGGTGTTTCACACTGCTGTAACAAGGACAAAGGAGCCACAGTACAGGACCAAATTAAGATGTAGTTAATTGGTCTGTGTGAGAATCTTTGCAACTGGGGAAGGAAGATTAAGAAATAAAGGCACTGTCTGCCTGAGAATATTAGTGCTTTTTCAGTACAAAGTTACTGACTATTCTGTAGAAATGTGTGTTGCAAACAGTGAAAGGGTGTTTTCATGCCAAACTGCAAAGCTGTGGACAGTATGTAAAAGTAGCTCTAAATTGAGTTGGGGAATGTTTGAGAAGCAGGATGTGTACAACCAGGCTGCTTCTGGTACTGACACTTCAGTTTTGTCAGCACTGCCTTGTAGCATGGTATTCCACCTTTGGATTTTACTAGGACTGTCTCTGTTCAAAGTAGTTTAATCCGTATTCAGAGTAGGAAAAGCTGCCTTTCTTTTCTCTCTGGTAAGAGTGTTTATACCAGCAGTTAGTCCAGGGTTGGTCCTGTGCTCTGATTGAGCCTGGGTTTCCTTTATGTTTACTTCCTTGTGTAGACAAACCCCGCGTAAGTGCGTCACACAGGAAGTCTGTGGAGTTACCCTGGTTTATGCTGATGTAACAGGACACAGGAGAGAAATTTTATGGCTGTTTCTGTCCCAAACAGATGGAATACTGTTAAGTGACAGCTCCAACAGGAACAGATTTTGGGAGGTGCTGTTTTAAAGGCTTGTTAAGGAAGAATGTTTTAAAGAAAGGTTAGAAATAGCAGAAAGAGGAGTCACTTTCTTTTTTCAAGTTTAAATAATGCACGAATAGTGCATTACAAGTCCACCCTGCTTATAACACTGGAATACTATACAGTGGGCCCTGTTTTCCCAGTTTTAATGTAGACTAATCTGTTTAAATTTGGACTATAGGGGGAAAAGGCCAATGTCATTACTGCTCCAAGAAGTGAGTACTGCTGATGTGTGCTGGACTTGTAGTGTGCTACTTAAGCTAGGATTGTGATCTTCCTGTTCTTCCTCTGAAGCACTGAAAGAAAAACATTTGTAATAGTGAAAGAACTGAGAGAAGAGACCTTATGAATGTGTTATGAGGAATCAGTGCAGTTTTAAAGCTCTCTGTAAAAAGTGAAACACAAGTGTGGACTTTTGGCTCTCCACCTGTGTAGTAGATGTCATCAAAATTTCCATTAGTGCCATGCTGTGTTTTCCAAGAAGAGAAATGCCATCATGTTCACCCAGTTCAATTTTTAAATATATCTCTCTCTGTCTGCAGCTTCCAAATATTATTCAGGGAGCTGGACAAAGTTAAACACAGCAATTCAAAAGTCAGATCCATTAGCCAAGATGTAATTAGACTTTCTGCTAAAAGGAGAATGATGAAAAACACTGACAGAGTGAAGAGACTGAGGCTTTCTTTTATTTAGATATTGTAGCTTCTTAATATCACAAATTTCCTGAATAGATTTCACTGGATAGAATTTATTTCTTCTGGCCTAGTATTTCCCTTTCTTTAATAGCCTTATGTTCCTTTCTGTGTGATGCATTAGATGCATTAAGTAATTCTATTCCATTTTCCAATCAGTATTTGTTAGCTTCCAGGAGTCAGATCTTATTGCTAGGCAACTAAACAAGAAATCTCCATCTTTGTGTGGAGCAGTTTGCTGTATCCATGCCTGACCCTGTGCTTATCTATACATACATCTAGAAAATCACATAAGTGCAGCTGTAAATGGCGAGTGTAAACATGCTGCATATATTACACATATTACATATTACACATATTGAATTTATCTTGAAACTGAGTTGTCAATAGTCCAAACAGCTTGGAAAAAGGCACATATTTTTACCACTCCATTTTTAGATTTATTTCCTCCAAAAGCAACTAACTTTAAGGGCAGCCTTGGTGCTGAAAATTACTTCTGTGTTTTGGGCTACTAAAAGAATATGGATTTAGGTATTAATTACTGCAGTCTTTCTACATCAGGATACTTCCCTAATTTTATTAATGCCTCTGTAAGATTTTGATTATTGTGATTCTCTGTTTGCAAGTTTTTCCAAAGGAATTATGAGACAGAGGAGGTAGTTTGAAAACCATCAGCAGGGCTTCAGCAGATTGCAGTGACAGCAGTCTTTCTGCACTTTTAACAAAGCTTATACATTTAATAATTTAGTGAGCTCCTATCTGCCATCTTGGTGCTTGGTTGCATTTTCACTGCCATGCAGTGCATTTTGTTGATCTTCTAATAATATGTCCTCCGTAACATCATAGTCTTGTTACTAAGGATTATTTGTTATTTTCTTCAGTGTAATTTTTGTTGCTGGAGTATCACTGTTCTGCCGCAGAGGAAATGGCTTCTGATGTCACACATTGGCATGACTATTTTTTTTTTTTAAATTATTTTACATTGCCTTTTAACCAGTTCAGGCCATGCTAACATATGTATTCATAGGTGTGATGTGTCAGGGTCAGTTTTGGAATTCCAGAAGAAAGGTCCGAGGGGGCGTGTGCCTGGATCCACACAAACACCTCAAGGAGACCAAGGTGAGGGAGAGGTGACTCTTGCAGGCATTGCTGCTGTCACCACCCTGTGGATGGTGACTTAGCTGGCTGGATTAATTTTCCAAGCTTTAGAGAGAGCAGACCCGTTCCAATACACATTTCTGTGTTTTTAACTACTCTTTAAACCAGCTCCTGATCCTCTACTGAGGATCTGCAAAAGGAGTTTATGGATACTCCTTTTGAAATTCTGATTGGGTCCTATGGGTGCACCCAGAGGTGGTTAGTATAAATAAAGGAGCTGAACTGATCCATTTTCTGTTCTAATTTTGGTTCAGCTGTGATTAAAGTTGTTCCGCTGTCCTTCCTGTTCAGATCAGAAATAGATTGGTAACTGACTCATGTTAGAAAATACGGCACTTAAAAATAGAAATGATGGCATGCCGTGGGTGATCCCATGGAATGGGGCTTCAGGTGAAGGTAGGGTTTAAACTCTCTTTTCTGCTTTGCTGTCATAGCACTGCTATTATTTGTGGCTCCCCACACGGCACCACTGCTCTTCTCACCTCTTCAATCTCACTCGCCATATTTAGGGGCTGAGGCAATCTGGCAAGTACAGCTGAGGAGATGGAGAAATGCAGTGATTGTCTTTCATACTGTTTGTTCAGCTACAGTTTTCAGTTGAAATCCCAAGTCAGAGTTGTGGAATCATTAAGGTTGGAAAAGACCTTCAAAAGATCACCAAGTCCTAGCACCACCACAGATTACTAAATTACTAAACCATGTCTTCAACTGCTGCATCTGATCAAGCTAAACCTACTATAAATATTATTTTTAATATAATGTTATATTATATTGGTACACTGGCTATTTTCTTTTACTGATTCTAGCCAGTCTTTTTTTTTTTTTTGTAATAGGAGAATTTTGTTGCAGAGAAGCTAATTCTAAGATGTTACAGATGGAAGCAGGAAAATGATAAGTTATTAAATAATTACAAATAGTAACTGCAATGTTAATAATACTTTTGTCTTTTATGCTATTAAAAAGATCCTATATTTTTGTGAATTTAGCTTGTTTTCACTAAAAAAATGTTGTAGATTTTGATATAGGACAATTTCTTATAGGGCAATTTTCTTAAGATACATCACCAAATCTCTTGATTATAAAAACTTGTATCTTTGGGGTGAGGCAGTTGGACTAGATGATCATTCCAACTTAAATACTCTATTCTATTCAGTACATTTTTTTTTTTTTACAGAAAAATTTGGGTTATTTTCAAGAAACAGTTCAGTCTTCTAATAGATCTAGTTCATCCACCCTCCTCAGCCTTTCCATGATAGTGCTTCAAAAATAGCAAACCTCATCTCAGTCATGAGTTTGTATCCAGACTAAATAAGTGCATTTTATGAATCCATCAGATTCTTTGTTCTCCCTCACTGATTTAGCTCTTGTGGTTTTTTTACAGTGCTTCAGTGGAGACTGGAAGTTGTTTGCCACAAAATATTCTGAAATAAATACATAGGTTTTTAAGCTTCAGGTAAAATGTGCTGTATTCCCAGGATAAGCATGATAGCATGATAAAAAGAAGGATGCAAGGCACACATTCAGTATGCTCATCTTTGTACATGCAGATAACATGCTGTGGTTGCTGGAACTTCGAGTTTCCATCTTGAACTTCCTGACATACGTGAATCTAGCTTGCTCCACTCCTCCTATGCAAACAAAAAGATCTATTTTTAAAATCATTAAATCAAAGGAAATTTTATTAAGAGGAAAGCTGAGATGGAAAAAGGAAATACATCCTGCCGTGCGTAATTTGGCTCCAGCCTACCCACCACCCTGAGCTAATACTGTCGGCGTCTACATCAGCAAGTGGTGCAGTGCAGTTAGAGCCAGTTTATCCCTGGTGCCAAGAACCTCCTGTCCACACTGTATGTGAGTGGGTGGAAAGGAGGGAATGTGCTCTGAACTAGCTCCAGTTTGCTCCTGAGATCTGAAAGGCCAGGAATAGCTGGAGCACGTGAGATGCTCCGTAGAGCTTTGTTTCTTTTGGAGGATATCTGGCTGTACTCCCTGGTCTGTGCTGTGTGAAACAAAGTAGAGTGAGAGGGAATGAACAGGAGATTCCCTTCAAAAGCATCCTCCTGATCTGGACTTACAGACTCATGGAGAGGCATCCGTTGGTTGGATGGTTTGAAAAGCAAACATATACAGCCCATAGGGACTGTATATACAGCCAGTACACGCTGCAGGGAATTAGTGCCTTCTCCCCTTCGAAAATAAGGTCTCTCTATATTCACTGATGCTTAGAAGAATTATTCCAGTATATATTGTCTGTCCTGATATATGTTCTAGGATGAGAGAGGGGGAGACATGATAGATTATAAGGGTGTTCCTAAGGGAAGCTACTTGTTCATTTAATAACAAAGGACTAACCTGGTAAGTGATGACATCCTGTTTCATAACTAGTGTGGAGTGTACGTGGGCAGAAACAGGTCTTCCATATATGTGACTTTACTATTTGAAAGCCTTCACTATTTACCTTTTTCTAAATCTACAGCTAAGACAGCTTTCCCTGATTTGAAATATTTTTATTCTTCATAAAATGAGAACTGATCAATTGAAGACCTTGCATGAAATCCAGTACACTGCTTAATTCCATAGCGTTAGTTGCAGACACCACAGGAGACTATTGCTACCTTTATTCTTCTGAGTCAGTACTGTAAAATACTGCAGCAGTGAATACAGAGAAATATGATAGTTCTGTAATAATGGTGGAACCGAAGAAGGTTATGTAATTCAAACACTTGTGAAATTAGTAGAATTATGGATTTCTTGCCAAGGCTTGTCTTCTGAGACTATGATTGTTTACAGGAATTCTAGCCCAGAAGCCCGTGAGGAAAGATGATATGAGGAGGCTGATTCTGCAGCCTTTTATTGAGATGAAGCAGGACTTGCTCTGAGCAATGAATATATTCATTTTCACAAGGCAGCCTGATAATGAATTTCTAAAGCAGGGTAGAATCAAACCCTACATCTCACTGTTCAAACTCTGTTTAAAAAACCGTATGCACAATGCTTTATTGCACTTGTGTTTGGTATGGTTCTCAGTGGAAACACAGTATATACCACCCAGGTAAAAACACTAGGGCAGAGGCCATGGTGCTTTTTACGCAGACTTTGCTTAAAACAGGTAATGGATCAAGTGAGCAGAGGTAAATGAGCCATGGAGAAATTTGTGGCCAAAGCCTTTACAACCCTTGGCATGATAGCTGCAGCATTTATGTAGTTTTAAACATCAGTATTGCTGGCTTTATGTAAACATAGATTTAAAAAGTACATGTGAAATGAGCATTCTTTTAAACTCAGACTTTCTCTCCCTTTTTCTGAACCACTAGATATTGGTGTTCCCCATGTCCTACTTCCTTCAGCACTACGTCAGCACGTCTGGTGGTCAGTGGGAGCTTTGCCAGAGTACAGTCTAAAGCAGGTTTTGGCAACCCATGAGTGCAGATTATAAAAGGCTGGCAGCAGAGTTAGCATGGGGTTAGGAGCCATAACATTGAGAGAGTTGGCTGGGAGAACCAACATCTCCTTCAGAACTCAGCAGAAGCCCTGGAGCTGGGCACTGCTGGCATAACACTGCTGATTTTAAGATCGTGTGGTGAGCAGCATTTCACTTGTTAGAGTTGGAGGCATTTTAAAATTCTGACAAGTGTCAGCATTGTCAGCCTCTTATTGGGAAAAAAGGAGTAAAGTGGAGCATAACACATTCGAAACATCTCTGCCCCCTGACCATTTGAGGTATCTTACTGGGAACATCTGCTTTTTAATCATGTTTTGGGCCTGAGTAATTCTAACCCTTGCTTGATTAGTAAGTGCTACTTGGTACCTCAGGGTTTGGCCTTTATTTATTTATTATTTTTAAGGCTACAGCATATGTAAGAATTAATTAATTCCCTGCAGGTTTTTGTATTCTATTTAACTCTCAGTCTGATTTTCTGGCTCTTTCTGTATGTTCATATGTATTCAGCAGCTATGGTTAAAAAAAAAAGTCACTGAAAAATACCAAATTTCTATTTCCCTCCTCCAGCCTTTCATAGGGTACCTGCAACAGAGAGGGTCGGTAATTTTACTACCTGCTGATTTGAGACCCAAGGAGAGCAAATAGCTGTGAAGCATTTTTGCCCCTGTAATCTTTGGTCATTATTATTGATTGAAATGAAACTTAAAAGTATGTTTCTTCTGAAATCTTTTGAAAAATGGAGGCTCTCAATATGCATTTAAGGCTGAAACATCTATCAGCAGCACCTTAAGGATGGTGAATTACATGCTGAAGTACATGTGACACCTCGGAGAGATCCTCAGTGTGTCCGATGGTGAATCAGGGGCTACTTTCAAGTTTTGGATACAGATGGAAGAGAAGAATAACGAGTTCTGTGTGATGTGTCAATTTATGAGCAATGAGTAAGCTCAGTGTGCAGGTTAAAAGCACCTTTTCTGGGAAAGCAGCAAAGAAGGAAGTGTGACATTATGTACTAAATCTGACCTGTGAAACTCAGAGAGAACCTTCTGGGGGAAAAATTATTAGTGCTTGAGTATAACTTATAGGGTTGTGATCTGATTATTTAGTTCCTTGAAAGTTATTTAACTTCAAATACAATTGGCATTATATTGTGATTGGAATTGGATAATTACAAGTAATAGCAGAATCATCACAAAAGGTATATGATAAGAGAAAGAAAATGTTATTAGGTCTGCAAACCATAGCATTTAAAAATAGGAAGTGCCTTGGAATTTAAATTACCGGAGCGGAATTTTTGATCTGAGAAGCAGACAATATCAATAAATGAGATACAAAAAAAAGGTTTCAACCCAGAAGATTTCTGTGTATTGAAATTTGAGTGAGTGCAATTGAAGAGATGACTCTGAGATACACTGGGGGCTGTTACACACCTGCCAGACCATGGATCATGTGCAGGTGCACTTACTGCTCAAAGGCACAGCAGTGGCTGCATCCTGGACAAGGGAAGCTTTGTGACAGGTGTGACAGATGGATAAAAGTAAAGGCAAAGTGAATTTGTTTGAAACCAGGACGTATTTTCTAGTTGTTCTACTCTGTGTATTTGGAGGTGGTTACTGATTGGGGAGGGGGGTCTAACACAGATATCATTGCAGTTGTCAAAAGTACCCAACAGTCAAGATCATGGAAAGTTGAGGATTTTGAGTAGTTAAAGAAAGTAGTCTTGATATTTTTGGAAATCAGGTCCTGCGTATGAGCCTACTACACTTTAAAATCCAAATTTCACTCACCTCTGAATGTTTTTGCCCTAATCTTAACAGATTGACCATAGCCTATAATCTCGAAAGAATATATTCTTATGAAGAACTCATGTAGACAATCCTTTTTTTTTTTTGTCAGTAGACATTATGTTGTCAAAAGAAAATGTATCTTGTGCTTCCTTTATTTTATTTTCCTTAAAGGTGATATTCAACATCTGTCAAGTTGAAGGTCCTGCACAAGACTGAAAGTTATTTTATCAAAAATAATTGATTTCCAAATGCATGTTTATGAAGTCTTGACATTTTCATAAATTTCTATTCTACAAGCCAGCAGTGCATATTTAAATAAATTAAAACAAAACCCAACAAAAAACCCCCAATGTATGAAGAATAAAGACAGGTATGTTCTCTTAATTCATACAGATTATTCTTACCAATTTGCTTAATATATTATGTACAGATAATTTGTGAAATCCCTTGAAATAGAACAAGAGCTTTAAAGAGACTCTTAAAATCTAATTGATTATATTCATAAATGTTATCACTGAGGAAGTAGAAAGCAATTTCTCCTGAACTTTACCTCTGTGAATAGTTGTTGACAAAGGGCTCTTCAGAATGAAATGTCACATCTTTTTCCTGTAGCTTGTGATAATTTATACAATCAAAATGCTAGGGTGACTAATTTTTGGTCAGGAA